GGAGCAGGCGGCTCGGCTCGTCTTCAGCTGCGTCTCCGGGAGTCGGGTAGTAATGTCTTCCAAAGGCCTTTTGCTCCGAGTTCTGTTATAACGTTATATTTATGAGTTAAGCCTGAGAGCTGTGAGGCAGATCCCGTGCAAAGCTGCTTGTTCGTGTCTCTTAACGATGCGAAAACGTTCTTTTAGCTTTGTTTCTCAAATAGAGAGTATAAGGATAGGACGGTTCCAATTGCCCCGATGATCCCTCCATGCTCTGTGCCACCCTCGGACATTTCTGATAAGGTCGTAAGCACTGTTTGACACGTTTGGAACTACAGAATCGAACTTTAGCAAACCCTGCTGTACAGGTGCACAGACTGAAAACTTGAGTTAATAGCAACAAAAGTCTCATAAAAAATCAGGACGTCTTAAGATTGGCGAAGCGTAGTGAATGGCTGCACTGACAAATGGAAGACCAAAGAAGAGGTGGAGACCAGAGAGTCACTATGTTCACAAACTTGTTCAGTGCAGCTGAAGCTTGGTTGCAAATATTTTTCCATGTGAATCCTTCACTGTAACCAATTACAATTCAATAGAGTAATTTCTTGTGTGAAGTTTAGGACTTAAACAATTATCCAAGGTAATTAACGCAGAGGCACTATAATTTTATGCATAAACATTTGTGTGAATGTTCCTGATTCCAGTCTTGTAGAATGGTTTAAATAAAAATGCCAACTGTCTGTTACATTATGAGCACCACACTTGTTTTTGGCAAACATAACATTCTACCTTTTAGTCTGAAAAGTATGTGTGCATTGGATCTGACTTGGAGGAGGGACACTAAAGTGTAATTTTAGGATAGTCTGGGCTTGCGAATAAGAAAAAGTATAGGTAACCAGTAAAGACTGAGACAGCAATTTCACTACTCTTTATTTTTTATTATGATGTTGGTTGTAACCGAGTATTTGTATCGATGACCAAGTTTGCTTTTCCTTCCTAAGCTTCAGAAGGAGAGATTCTCTCTGTTTTTTAAAAATTTTAACGCTGATTTTCAGGAATGTTCACAATTTCATCTAAAAGTGTTTTCTTAAATAAGATAACAGTCGTTCATTTATGTGGATCTTGTTGCTTTTGCTGTGTATCCTGCAACTTTTCAACTGTCATTTTGTGAGATTTTTCATGAAAAAGGATTTGTATATATGTATACATGTATATATTAAAAACTGTCTATATATATGCCTTGATAGTGAGCACACTTAAGGTAGATTTCTAAAATATTTTTTTCTGAAACATTTGCATTTTTTAACAGGTCTTTGAATCCAAATATGAGAATTGAAACTTGTATATGATCTAATTTTCTTATATTTTTTAATGCAGGTTCCTGCTATTCAGCAGAAAAGAACTGTAGCATTTCTAAACCAGTTTGTGGTTCACACAGTGCAGTTTCTCAACCGCTTTTCTACTGTTTGTGAAGAGGTACTTTTATTACTTTCCCAGCTGTCAATTTATACAATGAAAAAAATCCTAGAAAAAAGAACCATTCACTTAAATATTTTTGCTGCGATAATACTGGTAGCTTAAACCAAAAAATTAGCCTGCTTTCTCTTCAAGGTTTCTCTTGAGTAAGCGCTTCAGACAGATTTTTCCTCAAGATATCCACATGAACTGCTGACTGTACCACACTTAATCATGTTTCCTTAAACTTTTGCGTTTGGCACAGTCTTCAAACTTTTTGATACGTTGAATTTCTACTGAGCAGCTTCATCTGTGGATATCATCTTGTTTTGGAAGAAGGATGCCATATTCCTATGGTGCTGAATCCATTTTGACAGTCAGTATCCTTCTCATCTGTGTCCTAGGATATTGTATCGAAACTTGCCCTCAGATTTTACCACCTTTAATTTAAAAGGCTGATACAGCAAGCTCTGAATGTAAATAATTTTGATACAGAAAAAAAGACATTTCGGGAAGTAATTAGTATGGAACATGAAGCGGTTCTTTGTAATGTCCTGTAAAAAAGAGAAAAATAAAAATATTTAGTGTTAATAAGTTTTTCTGGTGACTTTAGTGTCAGTGGAAATATAGCAGACTGACAGGACTAGAATTGTCCACTGAACAGGACAAGAGTGCTTCCTCTCTTGTAGAAAGGGTGTTTTCTAATGTGGCTTTGAGCTTAACCTTTTTGTCATTAGTGGTTTTTTGGTAACTGTTCGCTGGTTTATTCAACAAAGGCTACTATACAGCCCTAGCCAGCAGAGCTAGGGCAGCAGTCAAATCCAATTAGACGAAGTCATGTAATCTGAGAAATTCTGTTATTAGTTAGTAAAGTTTAGAGCCAGACCCGTGACAAGTATAAAATTTGGCTACCACATCAACATATGGAGCTTCAGAGGAAAAAAAGTATTTTTTTCTAGATTTTTGAACTGATTGTAACTTAGTATATGGGACAGTGTAACTCCATAGTGCTGCTGTTGTCAGTTGTCTGAAACTCAGTTGTCACATGATCTCAATATTACCTCTTATATAGGCACTGTGGAGATCAGAACACATGTATTTGAAACCATCTTGAGCACGCAGCAATGCTGTGAGGTCTACTTAATAAAAGTTATTAGTTAACCTAAGCGTGTTTTTACCCAAGTGACTAAATAGTTGCTTTATAAACTCCTTGAAAAGTTTTTTGTATTTATGAAGTACAGAAGTGTTTTTAATGTAAAAGGTCCCAGTGTAAATCAACACAAGCCAAGAAATTCAAAATTAGGACTGACGCCATCCTTAACTCTAAATTTCTTGGCTCTTGTCTAGTCAAGCTGACCCGTAAAGTTATACAACTCTCTTTTGTACATCTTTCCTCCCCTTTCCCCAGCTACATGTAGGGCACATAGTTCCTTTCGGCAGGAGCTAACTCCTCTTCATGAACAAAGAACCATCTGTAAACAAGTCGGTGCACTATCCAAAAAGACTAACTCCTGTCAGTCGCTTTTTACTTTTTCTAGCATATTGGCAGCACTGCCATTTTCTCAGGGTGTTAAAGTTCTGCTTCAGAGCCAGGCAGAATCTTGCCAACATGCCAGAAAGCTGTCAGAGGGGTACGTACCTGCCAGCCAGCTTGCTAGCCAACTTCACTTGGACAGGTCTGGTGGAGTATGGTAGTGATTAGTTAAAAGAGTGACAGTTCTTATAGAGTAATTTCAAATAAAACTTAAGTTGTATTTTTTTGTAAAAAAAGTGTCAAAATTTGATTGGGGTGCACCTGGAGCATATAAAGCCTCTGGTTCGTTCTGATTCGCTGTGCATTTTGACTATATAGGACTTTCAATCACCTGCTGTATTCTTTATCAGATTTTTCTACTTTGCATTTGCTCTGTTACATACACACGCATCACATCTTTTCATTTTCCACATTTGGAAAAAGCTTTGAAGAAGGATGTTTTGGTTAGCTGCAAGAGTACGATATGTCTATCATTATTCTCTGGTTGCCCAAAGTAATACCCTATTTACTTTGGCTTTCTTTTGTACATAGTCTGTCTTCAGTCCTGTCAGTCATTATTTGGGAAAACTAACTGCCTAGTAAAATTATTTAAAATTTGGGCCAGTGTAACTGCTGTAGTAAAAAGGGATGCCATTGCTTCATTTTTTTCATCATGTTATCATATCGTTTACACTTGACTCTGCCTTCAACGGGTAGAAGACAAAAGGGATTTTGTATAGCTAGATGTGAACTGGTTTATATGTGCAAGTGGCCTACAGGAGCGTTTTCATGTTCAAATTGTTTTCTGTTCTAGAAATTGTCAGCACTTTCTCTCCGTATCCAACAAATTGAAACAACACTCAATATTTTGGATGCAAAGGTATGCATGTGTACAGACTTCATCTTCTAACAGTGGCAGCCTCCTAGATTGCATGAACTGGCTTCCTTTTCGTAGTCTGAATTGAGTAAATAAGTTTTCATAATGATTTGAAGGAGCTAATACAAAACGCCTACATGGGAAATTCTTTGCGTGCCTTGCCATTTCTGTTGCGTAACATTTAAACGTGTAGTTGATATGGAAGAAAGGAACAAACAGCACATAGTGGAAATGTTGCTTTTGTCTCTGTTAAGCATATTGAACAGGAAAGGAGCGCTTGGATCTTGAAAGGGCAACTGAACTACATGGCAGCTTACTTGTGTTGGTTTTATTGCCATGTTTAGTTTTAGGAAAATGGAGGGAAGTTTTCCGATACTAAAATGTGCAACTTTTAAATAAAAAAATGTGTTGCAGGGTTGCAGTACAGAATTGCATTTGCCATGGAAGCTCTAATAAGACATTTTTGCCCCCTTTGTAAAGCAAAAGTTTCTTTCTGAGTGTTAGCGAACTGTAAGGATTTCAACTGGTTTGAGTAACTAGATAGATGCCTTGCAAACCTTTTGATATTGAAATGGGACCTGAATTGGATCTAAGCTAACACAAATGTGTCTGATGTATCTTCTTTAGCTAATATGACAAAAGGATATAATATATAGTCATGTATTATTTAATTTGCTAAAAGAAAAAAAAAACAAACCCAAAACAAAAAAAAAAACAACACCCACTGTATAGTTTTAATCAATCCTTCTTTCAATAATGATGGAAGCAATTTCACTTGGCTTTTCTGGGAGCAGGAGTAGGACATTTTGAAACCTTTCATTAAGATCTTCGTGAAAAAAATACTATAGTAGTACAAATAGTGCTTACTAACTCTTACTTATTTCAAAGTATTTAGAAATGATCAGTATTGATAATTTTTGCAGAATTCTTCATAATCATGTTAAATAGAATTTTCTTCAAATAAATATGCAGCATAGTTAATATCCGCTCTCAGCATTTCCTTAAAAAAGAGTGAAAGATGTAGAAAATTGCAAAATCTGTAACCAGTCACCCATCTGTTAGGTAATAGAGCTGTTCTTGTCATGATTTCTTTCACTGTAGAGGAAATAGCAGAGAAGATGGCACGGCTCTCGTGTAGCTGATAAGTGCAGTAGCGAAATGCTGAGAAGGTGTTGAAGCCGTTCCTGCATTGCAACCCTGTGTTAACAGTGAAAGCTCCAGTGGAGTGTTTTGGGGGGGTTGTTGTAGAAGCCACCTGAACAGATTATTTTTTTTTTCTTTTTCTGATCAAAATACCAAAACCAGTGATAGAAAGTTAAAATTTTACTGATGTGAAACCTACCTGGGGAACATGTGGTAAGCAGCATAATGCAGATTTTATTGTACACGTAGACTTACGATATGCTCATTGCTTATTTGATGATGTTTTGTATGTTCAGTTATCCTCTATTCCTGGCCTAGAAGATGTCAAATTTCAAGCGTCCAGTGCAAATATGAATAGTGTTACAAATGGTCCTGTGGCACAAGCTACTGCGGATCAACAGACAGCTGTATCGCCTCCATCTGGAGTAAGTAATGAAGCATAACTAATACATTGAAGGAATATACCTCACCACATCAAGTTGCTAGTCTCATTTGAAGTAGATGGAAGGAGCAAGTCTATTGGAAGAGAGCAATCAACTGTAAAGATCTAAAACTATGTTTTTCACTATTGAAACTGTTTTAACAAGTGACTTAAAACAAAAAAAAATGGGCATACTCTTTCTTGACTATGTGGCTTGAATAACTAGAAGTAACTCAAATCTAACGATCAACACCTTCCTCTTCTTCAGTCACACTAAAATATGAACGTGAATTATGTCAGGGGACTGGGAAGGACATGAATGAAAATAACAGTTAGAATCACGTAATTCCAACTCTTCTCCTTTTTTTAGAATGTAAGCGCTCAGCTCAAACTGGAGTTTCTAACATACTTTACTTTAAAGATGTTATTACAGTGAACGTTTTCTATATATTATCATCTATGTACAGAAAACATCAGTTATTGTAAGCGATCAACATTAGGATCCTTTCCCTGCAATTAATTTCTCGTTGGGTTTTTTTTTGTGTATGCGTGTGTTTGGTTAGTTTTCTAACCCAGATTTAAATCCTGTGATCACCACTTCACTGAGCGAGGCTTTCTGCCTCATTTGTAGATGGAGTTCTTTCCCCAGTTTCCTATTACAGTTTGTTTTCTTGGAATCTCCAATTCCAATCTCTGCTCATTCTTTTATTTGGTAGAAGTTGCTGTGGAGCAGCAATAGCTGGAGTACTCTGCTGCCTTTCCCTGCCTGTTAAAGACTGTAACTCTAATTTGCAGCCAGCAACATGGTAGATAGAACAGACAGTTAGCATTGCTCGTTTCAGTCACATTAGAAAGGTAATCCCAGTTATTTTTTTTTCTTTAAACTGTTCGTCCTCTCCGATATTACAGTAGGGACAGATATTTCTGAAAGGTTTCCAATGCTACTTTCAAGTGGTTAGTTTAATAGCAAATACACAGTTTTCTGTTGTCCTTTAAGTAATATTATAGCTTCTTGTAATTTTTCATATTTTTTAATTACTCTCAAGGATTCTTTGATTTCAGTATGTTATGCTTTAGGTTAATGGTTTATACTAAAAAGTATAGTTTAAAAGCTATGTAACCTGTGTGAAAGATTTGTCAGGGAATCAAATAAATATTTTGAGGAAAAAAGGCGTTGGACCACTAGGAGAGATATATACTTATGATCCTTAAAAAAATACTTTTTATAAAGTGAACATTAAAATTTAGTTCTGTTTTATTCATTAAATACAAAAAACTAAACATGGCCAATAGGCAATTTTTTTTTTTCACATATTGTGCAATAACTTAAAATTGTGACTTAAAAGTATAAAGTCACACTTGTAACAGTCAATAATGAAAGAGCTGAGTTTTGTGTCTTCATGTCTTGGAAATCTGTAATACCATGAGCACAGATCAGAATAGTCTTGCTGTAAGAAGGGTTGCACTTTCCCTGTAAATTTCAGACTTTATGGATTGAAATCTCTCCGTGCTTCTGGTCTGCATACCTAACCATTAAAGCGTTATCTTCTTTGTATACAGCAGGTCAATATACATGAAGAAGGGTTACAGAAAACAGAGGTAGTAACAGAAAATGTCAGAACTGTGGCCAAGGATCCAAGATACGCCAGATATCTCAAAATGGTACAAGTGGTAAGTCAGTTCTCTTACCATTCTTTAGGTACTCCGTTATTTTTAGGTGGAACGTCACACACAGCTCTAAGTGAACATTAAATGTCTGAAGACATGTATCGTATTAGTAATCTTTAAGCTCGGATAACATCACAGTATTTCTAGCACATCTTCTCTAATAAATGAGTTGATGTAATATATTCTCTCAGACAGCTTCAGGCAAGATCTTTCTACAAAATACTGCCAATATACTTGCGAAATGAAGGTGTGAGGTTGTGTAAATGCAGAGTGATATTAGCTGGAGTCACAGAAGATGCCACTGAAAGTGTAGTTATTGTGGCAGAATTGGTGTCATTCATGGTTACAGTTTCATTTTGCTGGAGGGTACAAAATGCAGCTTTGCTACTGTAGTCCAGAGCAGGAGTATTTGATAGTTCTGTGGAGTTCAAAATAGAGATACAAGAACTGCTTCACTGCTTGGTTGCACTTCAGTTTCCTGTTATTCATGATGCTGGTTTTGTCTGCCTCTTTATCTGTGGGACGTTCTACAGATAAATAGGAAATAAATTAATGTAATCTCAGTATTAATCTGAGTGAAAACTAATGAAGGGGAGAAAAGGTGAATGGGAGATTCTTGGGGATGTTTTTTAAGAGCTCTTTTTTCACATCCACAAAACTAATAATGAAATTGGAAACAAAGAAAAAAATACTATATTTTCAAGCTGTCAGTGGAAATTTTCCTCTGAAATATATGTTATAATTCTGGAAAATAAGACTATGTCATAGTATTAGTAAAATGTTGCTCGTGTTAAAACTAACCTCATGGTTTCACTCCCTCTTCAGAGCAATTACTACAATTAGTGTGCTTGGTACTTTGAATGATGTTCCAGACCTTATTTTTCATTTGAATCAGAAATTGGCACTTCATGGGTAGCTTGTTACAAACCATTTGGACAACCTAGCGGTGGGGTAGTAGCAGAGAGTAGAACACTATATTAGTGTATTGATGTAATGCCAAACTTCAAAGTCGATGTGAAAGTGCTGGATGCTATAATCACTTCAGCTTTTTTTTGGTGACTGCAAAAGGAATGAGATCTCACTTTCCACATTTATCCTTTGTACTGGCAGTTCCTGGTGACTCCTCTGCCAGTTGTAAACAGTGTGGTAGGAAAGTCAAACTAACATACTACAAATTAATGTGTGTTTTTGTATTTGCCAAACTTGTCTTCTCGTCCAGTCAAGTATTTCGGTTAGTGTCATTTATTTGCCCAAATTAAGTTTCTAGCTGAAGATTTGTTTGAAGTGATCATTTATTTATTACTCACGATAGTAGCAAACTTATTTCAATGGAGTGTAGTTGAGCATAGTAAATTAATATTTTTTTTAAATATACAACAGTAATAGTCAAGCAAACCTGACAAAAGCAGTATCATATTTGCTACAATAAATGTTCAGAACACTTCTGTTGACAGTGTGAGAGGAGCAGTCTACAATTTCAGATAAACTTCATGTTTAAAGTACAAAAGCTCTTGCTTGCTTCTAAACACTAAACATGACTGCATAGAGACCAAGATACTGACAGGCCTGATAGAGATCGATCCTTGCTTTAAAGGACTGAACTAAAAACCAAACATGGAGAGCGCACTGCTCTTCAGGAGTTGCCAGTGCTGATGGTATGTGACCTCTTTCTGCACTGTGGAGAACCCAAACCTATTTTGCAACAAGATTGCTGCTTGAACTGTGGCTTCTCCGGGACCCTTGCTTCTCGAGCTGCAGGACCCGGCTGGGAGTAGGGCTGTGGTACACTGTGTTGAATGTGTAGTGATTTGGATGATTTCAAATCTTAACTGGGCAGAGACAAATGCGATGGAAATTTAGTATTGGCTCCTATGTTAGAAAAGTACACCTGTGCCATTTCGGTGGACCTGTTTGCTCAGTGTGCTTACTGTTGAGATTTAAATTAGTTGTCTGTTGTATTTTAGTAACACTTAGGGTCACAGCAGTATCAGGCTCTGATTTTCCAAATTAAAACTTATGAAAGTATGAAAGATAAAGTAATTGCAATGCCCTAATTGTATTATAAACAGATATAGGTACAATCTTATTTGTTTTCCTTCAGGGAAAACGTGCACTGTTAATGGGCATTTTGATTACACTTAAGATTAGTTTTTTAAATCTGTGATGTATGAGGGTACTGAGAGGTTTTTGTCTTACATATTTTGATGCATACAATTTTGGAATATAACATTTCTCCACGTGTGAACGTAAAAACATAACAGTTTCCAATCCATTCTCAGAAGTTCATGTCCCAAGCTCTGTTTCATTGAGAGCAAATACAAATTCTGCTTTGCCTGATCTGACTCAGTCTGGTTTTCGCATGGTTTGAATTGATGCATAAACACTTCATCAGTGACTTCTAAGCTAGGGAAAGGAACCCTCAAAGCAGTGAAGCAATGAAAAAAAATGAAGCTAGTATGAGACGGTGTATAGACTCACAATCCCTGGTGTCCAAATCTGCAATAGAGTAAGTGAATATTTGAAACCATCGTGAAATACTCAAATGCTTTCCCCTTTGTAATGTACATTAGTTGTGAATTACTGAGAAATTCTTTACTTCAAGCTAATACCTCGCAACTATTTGAGTCACATTTTTGCCAATATGCTTAGTAGATTGCTAAAACTACGTACCTGTCTCTGTGCTACTCCGGAATCTTCAAGCAAAAGTCTTGATTGTGATTCTTAACTGTGAAACTGTGCAAGGAAAACGCAGTAAGACGGCTACCTTAGTTCTCACTTTGCCAGGCTAGCTACCGCAACTGTCAGTAGTACCACATGCTTCTCTGGAACATTAATCGTGGCTGCCCTTTATTTTATCACTATTTTACTTACTTTGGACAACAGATATTTGTCCTGTGCCAAAAGAATCCTACAATACTTTTCATTTACGTTGTGAGGCCTCTCCTGACTTTCCTAAACCGCCCGTAGCTTTGTCCCTTGGAAATCACAAATTTTATTTTTTTTTTCCCCTCCTCTCTTGGCATGCAGTGGTCCAGGTGGTGTTTCTGATGGTTTGCACCAGGGGATGGCAAAGCAACAAGTTGTCTTTGAGCAACTCTAGTGGAAACATAGGAGCAGTTTGTTGGAATGTATCTCGTAAGACGACGTGGGTCAAAGTGTTCTTGGGTATGCGGTCCAAGATGAGGGGATATTTAGGTGTTGCTGAATAAAATAAAGTGCAGAAGCTGTGGAAGGACTTGCAGTGAAGGGAAGGAATTTTTTTTAACACGTACATAGTTGGCTAAAATCTGTCCCCAAGTCATAGAAGATTCAAGCCTAACTGTACAAGCACTTGTATTAGAGGAATCACTTCTAAATTATGCTTCTGTTCTCATTTGACTTTTTCTGCATGCTTTCTTGTAAAAACTTTTCCAATTTTTGGCATTGCCTTAAGGTATCTTTCCACAGCTGTAGCAGATGCACTTTCCTGATTTTCCTCCCTCTTTGGCTGTACCTTCAGCATGTCCGAGTCTTCTTCATCTTTTTAGCACAATTGTTCTCTGCTGCCTATGTGCTTTCTTCACATTCTCATCCACGTACATAGCGTCAGCTTCCTGGTTTTGTCTGCATGAATTGCAAATACATCTCTCCATTGCCAGTTCTTCTGCAACTTTCTCTAGGTGTTTTGCCATAAATGTAAGAAGGATTAAAAGGGCCTTTGATCTTAGTAATTTTTCGCTTCTAGGTTTATACTGATGGCAACTGAGATTATCATTCCATGCTCTTGTTCAACAAGTGACACGCATAAATTTGTATGAAAGTATAGCCTGAAAGAACCTGTGGAATTTAGTTCACCTATTTGTGTCCAGTAGTTTCATGTTTTTCTTCCTCCTCCTACACAGGGTGTTCCTGTAATGGCAATACGAAACAAAATGATTTCTGAAGGGCTAAATCCAGATCTTCTCGAGTAAGTAATTTGTGACTTTCAGTAGGGCTGGAATTCAACCGTGCGTTTAAAAAACTTGGAAAAAAGCATGCTTAGAAAAGCTTGTTTGTGGTATCATGAATCTAAATTCTCATCATTAAAACAGATTCTGAAGTCTTTCGTAAAAGGCGTTTTTAGCATTTTATAGGTCTGAAGAGGGCCATCAGTACCAAAGGAGGAGGGGTGCAATCTCGAGTATGAGCTGTCTTTGCAGTATTGTGGAGTCTGAGGCAAGGCCCAGGTAATACAGAGACTGGAATATAAATGGGTAGGTACTGCACCCTCCCAAACAGAAAGTTGCAGGACTTTACCATTGAGACTTGAGAGGAAACGGAAGGACTTCTTCCAAGCCAGGCAGAGGTGGTGCAGTTCAAGGAAAAGGGTGTAGCAATGACAAGGTAACATTTGACAATGTGCATTTAGCGATGAGGAATCAGATAATACATCAGTAGCCATTTTCACTGTGCTGTTTAGAGTATGAGGTTTTTCCCAGATATTTTCTTGCCACACTTCAATAACAAAACGTCATTGTTGTCAAGTAATAAGAACAAACTATTTTATTTTGCCGGATGCATGAGGGACAACACCGTTGTTTCCAGATTCCCTCAGTAGAGTGTACAGTTTGACTTCAACATTGACAGTGTAAATTGAAGTCAGCAGTTCAAAATTGTGACTGTTGATTGAGCTAACCTGCTGTGAAGACTACTAAGAACTGATACTCATTTTCAAAGCTACTTGTCTGACCATAAGCATGAATTTTAGCCTTAATTTACATTTGACGTGTGATTTAGTTTTACTGTACTATTTCATGGGATTTGTTAAACTGACGAAAATATCAACTTTCATTATAGCCACTAAACTCTTTTACTGAAACTGTCAATGTATTAGAAAGTCTGCTTCTCCTTTCCAGTGAAAGCTTTTTACATTTTGGAAAGGTTTATTCTGAAACTAGCAACTTGTTTAATAAAATAAGTATTGGAAAATGTGTTTAATAAAATATACTTAATAAAAAAATACAGGAAAACTGAAGTATCGTCGTACATTGAGTCACTTTATCTCCCAGCTACTTCCTAGTGTCAAAATATGCCTAAAGTAGTAATTCCTCATTTTATATTTTTACTGATCAAATGAGTAATAAGAAAAAGAACACAAGGAAGGACCTGTGCAAGTCTGAGACAGGGTTATCAAACATGGTTTTACTGTATGTGTGTGAAATGTGTTGTATTTTTCACTCTGCATTTCTGGTCCATACCTTTCTGTAAATGCTGCTATTTCTTCATGTTTGGATGGATTTTTATAGTAGACAAAAATAAGATAATAGGTTAAGATTTCAAAAACTTTTTTTAAAAAAATACCTGCTTTTAGATTGTCTGTTTTGGGTTAAGACAGAAATGTTATTACTGTGGATTGGGGCTTACAGAATATGTCTGGGGTTCAGTCTCAAAGTCCATCTTCAAAGATTCTGTGCAACAGTAATGCTGAGGCAGATTTTGTTTAAAATGTTATTGGTTTGAAAACTGTATAGCAAATCTACCTGGTTAATGAAAGCTAATTTTGGCGAGCTGCATAAAGCATAATATTTTAAGGAGTCGGGGTGACCTTTCTTTTAATTTTCTTGCTTTCTTGTCTCAATATTGTAGACTTTTTTTTTATGTATGTATCTTACCATTGACACCACATTTCCTGTGTCTTCAGGTTCCTTAGGCCTGCTCCCTCAGTTCCAGTGAAAATTAGGAAAATGTACATCTTGCTGTATGCTCAGTCGCTTACTGCACTCTCCCAGCTACTTGCCAGTGACTCAGTGTGTTTTTTTGGTGGCTGTAGAGATGTTGATTCTTATAATATGGAGTTGTTCATACGCTCTTCCTTCAGCTCTTCTGCTTTTGTTATTGCTCCTTTCTCAACTTTTTACAGAATTTGAAAACGGTCTATTCTATCAATTTATCTGTTTTTAACTTTTGTTTCTTATCTTTCCTCTCTTGCCTGTCTACGATTCCAGGAGAGTTTGTCCTGCCCTCACGAACTAAAGGAATTCATTGCCATCTTCCTCTCCTTACTAGAGGAGAGTTTTTGCACTGGTCTCTCTAGGTCACGTGTCTTTGCACGGCTTTTCTGTTTTGTTATTACCACAGCAACAAGGAATAATATTGTGAAGTGGTATTTGCATGAGAAAGCAAACGCTTTCCTAATTTATTTTGGAGGTGTGCAGGGGGGAGGGAGAAGGCTCACTTACAGTTCTTTAACGCACTTCTTATTTTTGCACCCAAAATGGTTAGAAACACTTTAAAGGTACCTGAGGGATTTCCAACAGAGAAATTATAACAAACAGAGCTAAAGTTGGAAAAGAAATTCTGTGGCATGAGACACAGGGGTAGCCCAAAGTTAAATAACAGCGGGACAAATAATACAATTGTCGGCTTAGTTGAAAATGTAGTATTTTATCAGAGAGCAGTTAACTATCATACGGGAAACTAGTTTCTGTGAAGATTCTTCCCCAAGTGTAATTGCGTGTGTGTATTTTCTACCTTGCTTTCAGAATTTACCAGGCTCAGTCTTGCTTGTATTGTCAAACTCGTTACGTACTCAGGAGGGAGAGTCCAGGGAAAGCATCTTCAGTCAGTAGTGTTAGTTAGTCTTTAGATGGCTTGCTTCTCTTCCTTTCATTCCCAGTAGATTCCCTGAGCAAATGTTTTGACACAATGTTAAGATCCATCTTAAATATTCTCTTCAGAACTAAATACAAGAGATCTAATCATTTATAGTCAATAAAAATCCCATGGCTGCTCTTGCATTTCAAATTTAACCCAGTGTTCTAGCCAAATTCCACTCTGAGTAATTCTTTTTTGCTTCTCTAAATTATCCCTGCAGTTTTAGTTGGATACAATATTGTTCATTTCCTGTCTTATTTTTTTCATGTACTATTTACACTGCTTAATGGTGTACAGCATGTTCCTTTCAGCCCTAGTACCTCTGAAGATTGCAAAAAAAAAAATTGAATTAATCAGCATTGCCTGCTTTCAACTCTTTCTGCAAGTGTTTGCCGCTTCTCAGGGATCTGTCATTGTTTCCTATAACCTCACAGGTGTGCGTTCAAAATGATGTCCACAGAGTTTTGATGTGCAGTGACTTAACATTTTCTAGTGTTTATCTTTCAGTTGTAAGTGAAGCAATACCAATAAGGTGTGAGTTTGTAAATCATGAACAGTTAATGTGTTAAATGTTGTGGATATAAAGTGCATGCAGTTGTGGTGAAAAGGACATTAGCGTTACATGCTACGTTGGTGGTGTTCTCAGCCGATTGACAACATAGAACGTTTTTGTTGCCTGCAGGACCCCAGATGCCCCTGTGCCTGCCTGGGGAGATGACGGGAAAGCAGAAGACAGTTCTGATAGTGAATCTTCATTTAGTGACTGAAGAGACTGATTTCAGCCTTTGGAAACCTCTGTTAAGTGCTAATGTATTTGGAGCTTTAGCAACAATGGTTTTGCGTGGGTCACGAGTGATGTGGTTTATCTGACAGCATTTTTAAGAACTAAGATCCTCCGTGTTCTCTCCCAGAAGGTTTGAACAAGCAGCGTGTTTCAACTTCAACCTTTCCACCATGAAAATTAATTGTGAGATCCTTGCAATTTTTATGCTGCATCATTTCAGATACCTTTCTGATTCTCTGAAATTAGTTTGCGAAGCTCAAAAAATTCCACGCCTCTAAACCTCCAGGTCTCTAAGACTGCATTCTTATCCATTATTGGATTTTCTGTGTAACACTTTCAACTTAAGTTGCCTTCTTTCTGTCCTATAACATACAGGTAAAGTAACTTTTCAAAATGAAATTGCTTTAATTGTAATCTGATGAACTGTATTTTTTTCTAATATGTATTCTGAAGTGGCCGCAACAAGAATTACACAGAAGTCAGCGATCTTACGGTGATTGCAAATTAGTGATACTCTGGTTTGAGAGAGACTAAAATACAAGTGAAAAATATATTAAAACCCAATGTGAATCTGTTTTCAAATTATATACTGCTATTTCCCATTAGAGTCTGTGAAGTTGTTAATGAAATTCCTGCTCCGTAGAAGAGTTGGTTTATCAAATTCAGGTTACAGAGGTGGAGAAAGCTACAAACATTGAAAATGACACTGTGAAAGAAACAAGTGACTGGGAGATTATTAATGGAATACCAAATTCTTACTACTTGTTCACTTTCACATGAGTCAGGAGAAACGACTTTCTGACTGCTGTTGGGCTTATTCAAAAGGAGCTGTGGCTGAGCGGTTTGGAGTTTGCACCTCCGAATCGGTGCCCTTGCTGATAATTTCAGCAAAGAAGCCAAAATTCAGTTTGCATGATGGTAAAACTGCCTTGCTATCTTCTGAGGTGTGCATAGGGAAACAAGATGAAGAAGTCCACTTGGAGCCTGACTGGCCCTGAAGACTTCCCTCCAAAGTACTTAATCTACTGCGTGAGTCAAAAATGATGTTTCATTAAAGAATCTTCTTTAATAATTTGTTCTACATGAAATTATTCACAATCTATTTGAATTCCCCAGATTATTGCGTTTATACCAAATGCTGTGGGCCAGGCAATCATTCACTTTCCGGTATTTTACGTTCTTCCTGAGACCAAGAAAAGACTTAAGATTGAAGCTCTAAGTATATGAATTCGTTAGCTTTTATGACCCAGTCATTATCTTCTCTCTTAGTTATTTATGCCACTTCAGTAGGTTAGCTGCTTTTTTTTCCTGTAACTTAAGCATGGCTCCCACTTGAGTCTAGCGGACATAGTTAAGCTCTTCATAACCTGTAAATCCGAGTAATACCTGAATCCCTATGAAAGCATAGATGCACTAGCAAATGTCTAGCAATGGCATTTCAACGATGAGTTAATCATTATTGAACACTTAAACAGAAATATTCAGTAGTTAACACTTGGTAAAACTTGACAAATATTAACATATTAGCAATAAATATTTCAAAAGTAAATGTTAGAATGTTATTTCAGAAAGCATATATTAAAACACTGGTGACTTTTTGAACTCTATATTTGAAAACTCATTGAAGCAATCTATATAATTAAAGCTATGTTTTGTAAACCAAAGTTGTGGTTCTATTTTATTCTCATATGTTGTTTTAAATATGATGAAAATTCTCCTAGAGTCTCTGTAATACATGTTTCTCCAAAACTGGTTATGCTGAAGTTGCATCATTCTGCTAGCTGAAGGGGAGAGTTTTGAAAATAGGGAATTGGGAGTTTCACCTAAGCCCCATTCACACTCTCACTAGAGAAGAACTGAACATCCCATAGCTGCTATTCTAACAAGAAAATTTAAGGAAGACCGAAATTAATGAGAACTGTATGTTCAATGCTCTTGATCGGATACTAACCTATGTAAGGAAGTAGCATGACTTGAAGAGTTGACTGGAAACATAGTAGTTAATTATTTGTTAAAAGAAATAAACGAGGTTACCAAAACACATTTAAGGAGGTATGACTTCCATTGTTTTTCATTTTGAAGAACCTCTTTGTGTAAAGTAATTTTAGTCTGAAGAAACTAAAATCGATTGTCTTTGACACCACTACAGATGTATTTTTATGTGAAATGAAAAAGAAAACCTCTAGCCTACTGTCACTTGTTATAATAAGGGATAATTAATTGGTAATTACATATATAGATGTCACAGAACAATTTCATTAGTAAGCATGCTGCATTTAATTGCTGAAGACTTGGGTGGTTTGTTTTTTTTCAGGGTAGCTGGTTATTTGGAATAGTGCACTCTTGGTAGGCTTGCAGAAATGTTAAGAAGCTGAGGCTGAGAGAGTTGGGGTTGTTCAGTCTGGAGAAGAGAAGGTACCGAGGAGACCTTATAGCAGCTTTCCAGTATCTGAAGGACACCCACAAGAAAGCTGGAGAAGGACTTTTCACAAAGGCATGTAGTGATAGGATGAAGGGGAATGGCTTCAAACTGGGAGAGAGTAGATTTAGAATAGGTATTAAGAAGAAATTTTCCACTCTGAGGATGGTAAGGCACTGGAACAGGCTGCCCAGGGAAGTTGTGGAGGCCCCATGCCTGGAAGTGTTCAAGAGCAGGTTGGATGGGGCTTTGAGCAACCTGGTCTAGTGGGAGGTGTCCCTGCCCATGGCAGGGGGGGGTGCAACTGGATGATCTTTAAGGTCCCTTCCAACCTAAACCATTCTATGATTCGATGAAAAATCTTGCCACTTCATCTCCTCTCCCACTGAAGCGGTGCACTCTGCACAGTAAAAATCCAAGCGGCTGAACTGTGAGGAACCAGGGAGAAAAAGATAAAACCTTCCCTGTTTACCTTCAGGACACCAGCAGCCATAGTGCTTCCACCGCCTTCGGAACCTCTGACCGCATTAAGCTCCTCTGTTCCTGCCAGTCTCATCTGCTAAACACATCCTTGTACGCTTAGGTTGTAGCCAAGTTCAATCTGAGATGTTTCAGTTTAGGACACATGCTGACACAAGAAGCTATTAAGTATGGGAAGGTTGGGTTGAGGCTGAATTATGTCAGCTGTGTTAGTCCTCCTTGATCTACAGCCGTTTTCTAGTGAGATGGTGCTAACCCAGAAAGTTGGAAAGCCCTTAACCGCAAGCTAAATACTATAAGCAGAGTATATTCCAACTTGCTCATTATTTGCCATCTGTTTTGGAATAGAAGATGGAGGGAGTATTTCAACTTGGCTGCATAGTAATCAGATATACATAGTACTTTCAAGGGAAGAAGTCCATTTTTAAGTGACTTTTATTTTTAAAGAGCTTCCAACAGCAATGAGCTTTTACAAGATACAGTATACATTAAGACATTTCAGTCGTACACATCTAATATACCCAAATTTTACATGGATTTAAAATCATCATCTGGGGCAATATTACAATTTGTAGGTATGACATCTGCTTCAGCATGTTGCTGGAGTAACTGTTGGATGCATCTGTTAACACTAATTATGTACTATTTGTAAATAATGTCTTCAGTGTTTCAACAAACTTTTTTTTTTTACCCCATCTCCATCTTCCTCCAGGTGAACTGGAGTGCAGAATGTGTAAAGGTCAGTTTCTTAAAGATATTACAGGCATTTTAAAGGCACATAGGTGCCTTAAGACTAGATGCATATCTGTATTTATGTAAATGAAACCTCAAACAACTGTTGAATGCAAAAATAACATCTGGACATGGTAATAACTTCATACTGAAGTCCTAGTTTAGCACTCTGAATCATTAATCTGGTCCCTCTCAACTCTCCTGTTCAGCTACATTTGAGAAGAAAATTGATTATTCTTTTTCCAAGCTGGGTCTCTTCCTTTCTCTTGTTTCTCTTTCCATTGTGTTATTTGCACTAGTGATTAACTGTATAGTTTGACGTTTTGTGAAAAAAAAAAAAGTCATAAGAAGCTATAGCCTGTACTTGGAAAAAGAGAATATCATTAAGATCAGCACTTTGAGTTGGATGTCATCGGGTAGATTTTGCTTTCCATGATGTTACGTAGCAAGAAGCCGAAGTTCATCACAGTCTTAAGCTTTCTGGGAATCCAGTTTTATCTCTGAAAAGCTGATGCAAGGTTACAGCGTTACAATGGGTTTGTCTGCAAAACGGAACGTGTGTTTTCGTACTCTTGAGAAAATTCGGCAACCTGTTGTCCGAGACGACTGCAGGTCACATGCCGGCACTAGTGCTCAACACGTTATTCTGCTGATACTTCAGAGGATGGTGTCTCCATTGAGACCGCTTCACGGGCAAGACCAGAGCTGCCAGGTTAGCTCAGGCTTGTGGCTCACCTCATTGTGCAGTTCTGTCTCTGGTAAAAATCAATACTTTAGCAGAAGGCGTGAGGAGTACCGCAGCGCTCGGGCAGTCCCTTTTCCTGCCACCAAGATTTTACTCCAGCTGTGAGCAGACATTGATGTTCAGTGCTAAATTACAAGTTTCTTAGTGCTTCCAAAAATGATTGCATTAATTCGGGAAGCTCTGGGTATTCCTGCCTTGTGTTTGACCGTCTAACTTTGCTAATACAATATTGCTTTAAGGGAGTTCCGTGAGCTAGTTCATTATGAGGGAAACGAAGCAGAAAATTAATATAGCGTACCCCATGCCACACAGAACATGAGTGACAGAAACAAGCTTAGTGTAGGATGTGTCTCCACATGCTTATACTCATTTTGAGGAAGCAAGTTTAAATGGCTATTAATTAAAATGCAGGTCATTGAGTGACGACAGATGTGGCATGAAACACTCAGTTTTATTTGGATTTTTTTAAAAGAGATGTTTAAGTCAGTGTCTTGACCTAAAACAAGCTGATTATTTTCTCACTGAGTGTGTTTCCCGTTTTCAGGTAAACGAATGGAAAGGAAAATTCTGAACAAACATTCACTTTGCAGGCAGTTGATTTTTTTTTTTTTTTTTTTTTGCATCAGACTTCATAACTGGTATCCTCTACCTGAAGGAATGCAATGGTAAATAATAGTATTCTCTGATTTAGGCAATATACTTTTTGCTTATCAAGCTCTTGTGTGTCCTGCCTTACTGTCTGCTCTGTCTGAGGACATGCTGTTCCCTGTATGCTAGAAATCCCTTCTTGTACTTCATTATCACCTTCGATCCTGGTCTGTGGAATCAGAAGTTGTAGTAAAGTGGATGCTAGGCTGGGG